GTAGTAGTAGTAGTAGTAGTAGTTGTAGTAGTAGTAGTAGTAGTAGTAGTAGTAGTAGTAGTAGTCGTAGTAGTAGTAGTAGTAGTAGAAGTAGTAGTAGTAGTAGTAGTAGTGGTAGTAGTCGTAGTAGTAGTAGTAAAAGTAGTAGTGAAAGTAGTAGTAGTAGTAGTAGTAGGGGTAGTAGCAGTAGAAGTAGTAGTAGTAGTAGTAGTAGTAGTAGTAGTAGCATTAGCAGTAGTAGTAGTAGTAGTAGTAGTAGCAGTAGCAGCAGTAGTAGTAGTAGTAGTAGTGTAGTAGTAGTCGTAGCAGAAGTAGTAGTAGTAGTAGTAGCAGTAGCAGTTAGTAGTAGTTAGTAGTAGTAGTAGTAGTAGTAGTAGTAGTAGGTGTAGTAGTAAGTAGTAGTAGTAGTAGTAGTAGTAGTAGTAGTAGTAGTAGTAGGAGTAGGAGTAGGAGTAGTAGTAGTAGTAGTAGTAGTAGTAGTAGTAGTAGTAGTAGTAGTAGTGGTAGCAATGCTATGATGTGCTGTGCTATGCTATGCTGCGCTATGTTATGCTATGATATGCTATGATATGCGATGCGATGCTGCGCTGTGCTATGCTAAGCTGAGCTATGCTATGCTTTGCTACGCTATGCTATGCTATGCTATGCTATTATGCGATATGCTATGCTATGCTGCGCTATGCTATGCTATGCTATGCTATGCTAATGCTGCGCTAAGCTAAGCTGAGCTGAGACGAGATGTATGATCTTTTGGGGGGGGGGGCAACGATATATATATATATATATATATATATGTGTCGTTCTTCAAGACGGCAAGTTTACTTGCATGGAGGGGGAGGGGGGGCTGAACCTGAAGCAAGCAAGCCGCAAACGACTTGCGCGTGCGGAGATGGCACGTCGAAGGGCACTTGCACGCTAGTGTTCGATTGAAGAGCAGCGAGGGGTGGGGGGGTTTGGGGGGCCAACGCCATGCAAGTAAACTTGCCTGAATCTGAAAGAAAAGGCTCCAGAGGAGGCCTCGCGGGGAGGGGGTCACGAGCCCCTGGAACCCACCCGGGACCCCCCTTCTGCGTTATTCTCCCAGGGGTAGCGGCGACGGCGACGACAACGACGACCCCAAAGTGGGGGAGCGGCGATGGCGACGAAGACCACCCAAACAGAAAAACAATTCACACACTCCGACAGGGTCGGCGATTTATCTTGAGGCCTCTTGGTCCGTCCTGGGGCTCTCTTGGAGGCCTCTTCGGCAGTCTTGCGCTTTCGGAAGCCCGAAACGCCGTGAATATTAACATCTGTTCAAGAATAAGTTTATTATGGGCTCAGGATTTGGGCATCTTCGGGCCCTTCTGGGGGTCCTCTTGCAGGCTGCTTGGGGCGTCTTGGGAGCATCTTGAAGAGGTCGGGGCCATCGCGCTCGGCTTGGAGGCTATCTTGGATCGTCGAGGAGGCTGTCCAGGGCCAGCTTGTCCGACCTGTAGGCCATCGTGGATGCCATCTCGGGCCATCCTGGCCTTCTTGGAGGCCCTTCCGGAGCCGCCACGGGACCGAGGGGGGGGGGGGGAGCGGGGGCCAGGCGCGCTTTGGGGTAATTCGGCTCCTTTAAGTTTTCCCATGCCGTGTTATCGCGATCTTGCGCGCTGTTGGGACATCTTCTGGCGGGAAGTACCCTGACCTTCCAGAGAGCAATTTTTTAGCACTGGAAGCCTAAAAACTTAAAAATCTGAGCGAAACAGCGTAAAACCACGACGTAGAACAGCTCTGGGATAGGTTTTAAAGTCGCTTGCCATTTTTTAGCCCTCCTGGAAGGTCAGGGTAGCAGCAACGCGCGGATTTGGCCAACCAGGTGAACACATGTTAGGCTGGATGCTCCGGGGGGGCCTCACTGGTGCTTCGCGGCGGCAGCAGCGGCACACGCAGGGGCCCGGCACACGCACGCAGTCTTCTTCCAGCGGCCGGGGTGCGGCACCACCCACAGCGAGCATTGGTGCGAGGCGCGCTTAGCGCAGCGACCACCTGGCATTGCAGGTGGGGGTCTGGGTGAGAGCAGGCGCATGCCGAAGAACGCGAGGCCGCGGATGCACGTGGAAAACGCACACGCGCGCACACACTTCTGAGCGGTAGCTGCCTCACGCGCGGCGACGAGGCGGAGTAAGACGCACATGCACACTCACACACCAACCGCGGCAAGCGCAGTGGCGGATACGTGCATTCGGATCGGTGGCCTTCCGACGTTCCATGTTTGTGCCTTTCATCGCTTCTGCTTCAGCCCCTCGACCGAATCAATCATGTTCAGTTGTTTTCTTTTTGCACTTCGGCGACCCGCTATGGTCTGGCCCGGAGCTAAACTGTAGTTCGCATGTTTTCCATTCTTTGCAACTGCACGATAGCGCTCTGAGTTCGCGGTCGCTTCGCCCAATTGCATCCCATTCCCTCCCCTTCCCTATCGAGTTTTCTGTATCTCTTGTTTTCTTACACAAAGACATATACATGTACATCTAGCATACATTCCCCAATCAGTGCTTTCACTGAAGGGGTCCTAGCGGAGATTGAAGGATTTGGCGAAAGTGCCGGGCCGATTTCGGTGGGCGGCCGGGTTCCCAGGTTCCCGGTTCCAGGTTCCTTCCCGGGTTCCCGGTTCTGGGTTCTGGGCCGATTTCGGCGGGCGGCGGGGTTCCCGGGGTCCCGGGTTCCTAGTGGATTTTATTGTCGGTTGGTCTCACCAGGGATTTGATTACCCACCTCTCGATCGATCTCACGATCGTTCTCACAATCGATCTCACTAACGAGCGATTTCATTATCGATCGCACTGTCGATCTCAATGAATATACTTCACTTCCGGTCTTACAATCGACCCTACAATCGTCTTCACTATCGGTTCCACTATCGATCACTTTATCGATCTCACAATCGATCTCAATATCCATATCACTGATGTTTTAACCATCGACTGATTTGGGAATTTTCTTTGGTGTACAATACACGAGGTACAGCGTATGGGGCGCAGCATGTGCGGTGCAATCGAAGTGTGCAGGGATGTGCAGGGCCCCGCAGGGCTTGCAGGAATTCGCAGGGCTCCAAGCGACGGCGACGGCGACGAAGAGCGGCAAGCAGGGCCGGTGGGGAGCGCGAAGTGTGGGGGATGCCCTGCGCCTCACGCGGCGACGACTGCGGCGACGCCGTCGGGGCCCTTCGGGAGCGCAACGCGTGGGGAGTGCCCTGGGACCACGCGCCTGCGGCGGCGTCGGCAGCGGCGAGGGGCGGCCCTCGAGCCCGCTGGGGACAGCGCACGGCCCCTCACGGCGGAGAGGGCGGCGGCGAAGTGCGAGCTGGAGGGCCAGTGGGGGGTGCGAGGTGCGAGGAACGGCCGGGTCCCTGCGCGGCGGCGGCGCCGGCGACGGCGGCCAGTGGGGAGCGCGAAGTGTGGGGAATGCGCACGTCCCCACGCGGCCACGGCGGCTTGAAGTGCACCCTTGCATCTGGCTCCTCAGAACAAAAGTCGGAGCCCCTTGGTGCAGGCATAGTTTTGGGGAGATGTATGGGCAGTGTACTCGGCTTGGTTTCAGCAAAGCTCCGCTAGGCTAGGCCAGGACTGACGAGGCGTATCGTTTATAGTTGTATGAGGTTTCACGAAGATCACGGTTTACCGCAGCAAGGTTCAATGATTTCAAGGCCGACGCCTAAGACACATATTGAAACATGTAGGGTGGTGGTTGGTGCCAAGCAGAATTGATGTAAAACCCATGTTGCATATGAATGTCACGTGTCTTGGCACTTACTTTACAGCCCAGACCCAGACTGCATACGAAGAAGTTGCATCGAATTGCCAAGCTATCCCAACATACATGTAACACATGCTGGGCTAGGCGGAGGCAATCTATCTTAAGCTTATCGAGCCCATAGTCAGGTGGTCGAGGCGAGCTACGCCGCGCATTGATGTGCTAAACTACTCCCACGAGTAAACTCGGTATTCACATGTACCTTCTCCTCGCTCGAATACACCGCCTGTCGTCACCACCCATGTGCATCTGCCCAGTGCACCAACTGAGGAGGGAGCGCACCCGACCTACCTGTGCCCCAGAACAAATGAATCATCGGCGTACGAAGAGGATTCGTTTGCGTAGTACGTGCTCGTTGAGTCAGCTGTAGGTCCAGCTTTTCACATGTGTGCCCGTGAAGTGGGCATCTTCGTCGTTGAGCGATGCTATAGTTCCAAAGGTTGTGTCATCCAGCGCTCCAGCAATACCAGAACACTGCACAGGACTGGTACGGCCCACAACGCGCAAGGACGAGACGCGACAATCAAGCAGCGCACGCACAGTCGCATGGACACAATTTGCGGCGTCATTCGGTTAAACCAGAATGGCATAATTGTCACAGCTTGTGAGATAGTTTTGCGCACTTGTCGCGAAGCCTATGCACGTTCAAGGATCGCATGATGTATGTTGGATTATGTGGATGTCCATCGACAGAGCAGCGCCCTCTTGTTTTTGTTCCCTGCATCCAGGATGTGCCACCACAGCACTCTGGCCGCGGGCTCTGCCCAGGCCGCTGTCATGGGAAGCGCCGCGGCCACGTCGAATATGTTGGGCAAGCTTGTGCGATTCTGGTCTCAGTGTGTTCTCATGGACATACAATGCATCTCACACATGCGCACAGCCAAAAGGCCCCGCTTATGATTAAGAAACCTCCCCCCGAAAAGCTGGCCCAGCGTTTCTTAACCAACTTGCCGGAAAGCTGGATCAGTTTCTTAAGGGGGGTGGTAGCCTTGGATCTTAGAGATGAATGATGTACGCTCCTGGCTTCAAAAGCTGGCCCAGCGTTCCCTCAAGAAACTTATGAAAAACTGGCCCAGCTTTCTGAATTGTTGATCTTCTGAATCATATTCTTGACTCCAGTTCAATGTTGATCTCGCTTTGCCGAATCTTCACGAAGATGACGGCAGTTGGTTTGACTACGTATGATCATGTGCGCGGTCACGCTTTTTGCATTTTGTCCACAGGTCGCGGAGGAGAGAAGAAAGGATTCGACTGCTTTGTTCTCCAAGTTGGAAGCCGCCGCTGACGTAGTCGACGCTTGCCTGCAGGATGGCGGCATGTGGGCGGTGTCATTTGGAAGTGATTGTGCAGCTCGAGTCAGGATGTTAGACTTTAATTCTGAAGCCCCTATGATCTCACCATGGTCAGTGCAAATATTGCAGCAAGAGGGAGACGCTCGTTCGTTTGGATGAGGCATGGAGTCCCGCGCGATGAGTACATGAGGGAGTCAGATGCGAGCAGAATTGGCCATCAGTAGCCATGGCATGCGCAGGATGCGCCGCCGTGAGACCAGATCCGGTTTCCAGGAGAGGCGCTGGAGCCCTATAGATACGCCCGTCCACGGTGCACAGAGATTCGGGGTGGAGCGGCCTGGGGTCTGGAGGGAGAGCACCAGGAGCTGCTGGCGACCTCAGGGGGTTGCCACAGCAGCAGGCGGCCGGAGCCTTCAGCGCCCGGGCCGGAGCGCCACTGAGCCGCCGCGCGGCGCCGTTGCGAGTCTGCGCAACGGCGCCCGGATGAGGTGTTCCGAGGCATCCGGGAGGCATATCTGGGGGCCTCCGGAGGCCCAGCTCTGGAGGCCTCTCCCGACGGTGGACCTTCGCAGCGCGGCGCTCGCCGCACAGCGGCCCCCACTCGAGGGGCCCAGGAGGAGCGAGGGCGCCTGCTGCGAGCAGGGGACACGGATCGTACGGATCCCGCCCGTGCTGCCCGCTCACGCGGCACGGTGCGCAGCGGGGAGGAGGAGGCGGGCCCACTGCTTCGCTAGCAAGACGTGTGAGCCTCGCGGTTCGCGGGCCTTCCAGGGCGGGGTATGCCTGGGTCTTTCTGGGAGAGAGTGATACCGCGGCTGCATTTGCCAGAGGTATTGTTCTCGACGTCCTTCCCAGTCCCCTCCACCCCGAACTGCTGGGAGCCGGAATGCCCTCGCGAGTCCGTGTTCTGAGCGCGACAGCGTCGATCAATGTCGGGTAATCGATGGGACAGCGCCGATTTAGCGTCGACTGGTTTCGATCAGCGTCGATTTAGCGTCGACTAGCATCGGTTCGCGTCGATTCGCAAGCGCCAACAAGATGGTGTGGGAGGCTCCCACCACGAGCTGCCACCGAACACTGCCGTCCAGCCGCCCGAGAGGCCGACGAGCCCGGGAATGGCCCAGCGATGGCCCTCCTCTAGGCCTCCTAGATGAGGTCCGAGTAGATGGGGTCGGAGGGTCACGCCGCATCGCCGATGCCTCGACGATGCGGCTCGATGTGGAGCCCGTGTGTCACCACGCCGACGTCGCCGCCGCGCCGCCGACGTCGCCGACGTCGCCGACGCATCGCCGATGCATCGCCGATACATCGGCGATGCATTGGCGATGCGGCGCGATCCTTCGACCCCGTCTACTCGGGCCCCATCTGGGAGGCCTCTACACATGGCTCATGTCTCTGGGGGGGGGCCCAGATCCTGTCGCTTCTGATGCTGCCATCCTGGGCCTCTTCCTGGCCGGCCACTAGGGGGCCAGGAAGAAGTAGAAACGAGCAGAATTAGAAATGAGCACGATTAGAAATGAACGACGCGTACTCCAGATTTCGTAATAAAAGGGAGGATGTCTGGACCCTCCAAGACAAGCCATTTCAGACCCCCCCCCCCGTGGGAGAACCCTCCAAAACGTCGTCCCCAGACCCCCCCAGGCCCTCCAGGATGGCCTGGAAGAGACCCCCCCCGAAATGAGACCCCCCTCCCTTTTATTACGAAATCTGGAGTCCCTCTTCAGGCCGACGGGCGGCCACGACGGCCGCGGAGCGCCGGGCGCCGACCTGCCCGCGAGTCGGCGCCCTCGGCGGCTCCCCCGCGGGGGCTGCTCCGCCGAGGGCCTCCGGCCTCTCGGCGGCTCCCCCTCCCCCTGGGAGGAGGAGGAGGAGGAGGAGGAGGAGGAGGAGGAGGAGGAGGAGGAGGAGGAGGAGGAGGAGGGTTGGGACACGCCCCCTTTCCCGACCGAGAAAAATGTCTTCACCGGCCGGATGGGACCCTTCACCGGCCAGATGGGACCCTTCATCGGCTGAATGGCTGGTCGGCTGCCCGGCTTCACCGTCTGACCTCGCCTCGCCGGTACGCACATGCTTGTTGGACGCAGAACTCCGTGCACGCCGGCCAGGAGTTCTACCGGAACCTGTGGATTACGAGCGAATCCGACCGAAACCTTCGGATTACTAGCGAATCCTACCGAAACTTTTGGATTACTAGCGAATCCTAGCGATCCATGGGAAGACGTTGGAGCCCCATGGAAATTCGAGAAACGCTGAACCTCTGGGAAAACGTGGAAGCCCCAAGGGGCCTCGACATCAGCATCATCATCATCATCATCATCATCATCATCATCATCATCATCATCATCATCATCATCATCATCATCATCATCGTCATCGTCATCGTCATCGTCATCATCATCAGCATCGTCGTCATCAGCATCCTCATCATAATCCTCGTGATCATCATCATCATCATCATCATCATCATCATCACCACCATCACCATCACCATCATCATTCTCATCATCACCATCATCGTCATGATCGTCATCATCATCAACAACATAATCAACGACACTACCAGCATCACCATCATAATCAACATCATCATCGTCATCATCATAAATGTCATCGTGGTCATCATCATCATCATCATGATCCGCATCATCATCATCATCATCATCAGCATCATCATCATCATCATCATTAGCATCATCATCATCATCATCGTCATCACCATCATCATCATCATCGGCACCATTATCGTCATCATCATCATCATTAGCATCAGCATCATCATCATCATCCTCATCATCATCGTCATCGTCATCATCGTAATGACCATCGTCGCCATACGCATCATGATCATCGTCGTCGTCGTCATCGTCACCATCGTTATCATCGTCATCACCACCAGAACAATCATCATCATCGTCGTCGTCGTCATCGGCATCATCATGGTCATCGTCACCAGCGTCGTCATCATCATCATCATCGTCGTCATGGTCATCGTCATCGTACGCTATCATCATCGTCATCACCATGCCGATCACACTTCGCCCGCCTCGAAGCTTCTCCTGCTCCTGATCATCTCGTTATGCTAATGATCAGGTGTTGAAATGGCGCGACGGCGGGAATTGCCGCAGGCAGCTGCGCGGCATGGAACAACATCCTATGCCATCACAGAGAAGGCAAAACAGCCATGTGCCAAAGTTTACCCATCCAGTGTGCCTGTTGAAAAATGGCTATGTACATGTATCGCACGCTTACATGAGGTACCCTTTGGCATGATACCTTACCTCGGGGAGAATTCCACCGACCTCCCGTCCATATTCTTCCTATTCTTCCCTGCTCCTACGCAGCCTCTTCCTCCTCCTCGTCCTCCTCCTCCCACCATGCATGCCACGTTGGTACACGACCAGAATTGGTCTCTTCACCGGCCTCCAAAAAACAACAAAAAACAATTAATTGCAGAAACGGTTGTGGCAATCCTTACCACTCCACACTCGTTCTTGGTGGCGTAAACGCGAACACTACAATCAACTTTTAATTGAAAGACGTAGCCGGTGAAACACCCAATCAGCCGGTGAACGGATCAGCCGGTGAAGGGTCCCATCTGGCCGGTGAAGGGTCCCACTTGGCCGGTGAAGAGACCAATAGCTTCCCCGACCTTCCAGAGGGCTATTTTTTCCTAGCACTGCAGGCCCAAACACCTAAAGCAACGGCACGAGACATCCTAACACCAAGACGTGTGCCAGCTTGGGGAACGGCTTTTGAGCCCGGTGCCATGTTTGAGCCCTCCTGGAAGGTCAGGGTTCATCTCGGCACATGCTCGGCGTCACCCCAACATACTTCTACTATATGTGCGTCGCCCCCCCAGGGGCGACGCGCGCACCGAGAAATCTCATGGTACATGCGTCGTGACGGGCGCTTTCTGGCCACACCGCTCGGGAAACGATGTGCTACAAGATGCGTATACTGGATGTTTGGGTCGGACGTCCGCCTCCAAGGAGAGCAGATAGTACTAGTATGTCTTTGTGCGTCCCAGGGCAGCCACGCGGGCCATGGCCAGGATGTCGCGGGATCTCGTCGGCTCGGGTTACACTTCCGTCGGGCGTGTCCCCCCTACAGGAGGATGCGTCAAAAATAGTCCAATCGTATCCTGTGGGAGGGGATTGTTTCGGTTATGTTCGATGATTGTTGTGACTCCTTTTTTACGCTTCGTCCAAAATCCGTCGCTGGGAGGACATGCCCGACCTAAGGCTACACGTAAGAGTGACCTTTCGCCAGAGTGACATCTTGGTGCGGGCCCAGTGGGGTCCCCCGATCGCCGAGTGCGATGCGACAGTGGCGTCTTGTGCGGTTGGGTTTGGTCCTCCCGCGGCTCCACGAAAGCCCCGCACCAAAGGTCACTCGTGCCTAGGGCCACTCTGCGTGTAGCTGATCGGCCCTGATATAATGGTTGTGGTCCATGCCGGCCATCGCCGATTCGCGAGGATGATCCACGAGTCGACGGTCACCGAGATGGACTGTTCATTCTTGGTCATAGTCATCGCTATCGTTTCCTCCACTTACCCCTGCCTGTCAGATTTCTGACACACCAGTCGGGGGTTCAGAATTTGAAGGGTGTTTGCAGCACAGTGGAAACCTCAACGGGAGGGCCAGAGCCCCAGGTCGAAAGGACCAGCAGCGGTAGGGTTCGCCAGTGGTCGCAGGCACCACGCACCATCGTCCTCTGCCGTCCTCCCTCGTCCGATGGCTCCTGCCGAAGCTCCCCACGGGGGCGCCTCCTCCTCATCGTCGGGGGCGTCCTCCCACCATGCTCCCTGCTCTCCACCCCCCCTGTCTCTCTCTCCCCCCCCCAAGTGCCGTGCTGGAGCGAACAATGGGGTGCAGGGCCCCTTGGACGGGGACGGTCGATTGTACCCCAGCCATGATTCACAGCAAGGCACTGGGGGGGGAGAGACAGAGGGAATGGATGTAGATTTTGGTCGGGGCAGGGCTTTTCTCTCTCCTTGGCCGGTCCGTCTCCGTGC